TAGCCTGTACCTTGGTATACCTGTGGTCATATCTTACCTATCACATCTCTACCAGACATGATGACTGGGATAGCCTGTACCTTGGTATACCTGTGATCATATCTTACCTATCATATCTCTACCAGACATGATGACTGGAATAGCTTGTGCCTGGATGGGGGTGGGTTTCTCATAACCATTTCTGATGATAAAAAAAAAAGAGAGTGTTTTAATAAAATTTGCAACAATAATCAAAGCATTAGTGTCTGAACTTCTAGTAGATGGCCAAAAATGAATGCAAACTTTAATGCAGATGTTATCCAAAAAAAATTTGTTGTGCTAAAGTTATTGATTAGTAAAATGTGGTTGAGTTTATTTTTACAAAAAAAAAACTTTTTCTGACTAAAAAAGAAAATCTGAGTGTATGGATTTATGGATTATGGAGTGTCCTGGATTTACTGCAGTTTTCAATATTCTGCAAACTCGGTAGTCACAAACTGCACACGGCGAAATTTGATTTTTTCAATGCCATCAATTAAAGATAATCAGTCTGTTCCTTTTTTGTTCTTGACTAGCAGCAGTAAAAACCCATTTCACGACAAGCCGTTGGAATGCCTGAGTTTGCAGAATATGGAAAACTGCAGTAATTCGCTAAAACTGTACTTCGTACTTAGTATTCTACAGGCAATACATACTTTTTGAAAACATCCAAGATTTTGAGATTGACTCCGGTCTGTGCCCATGTTTTGACAGGTTTTGGGCAGTTTTTCCCTCTGATTTGGATGTTCTCTAGACTCAATCTGAATTCATCCAACTCTGTTTGCAATCACAATAAAATATATTCAATGTTAAAAAAAAAACCACCAGGATACCCCAAGGTAACCATATATTTCAAAATGAACCACCAGCAGAAACATAGTTTCAGAACAACGATATTCAATGTACTTTTTATAGCATAGCAATTCCATTTGTAGATGAAGTTTGAGGATCCTATTCCTCTACTTTTCCCACTATGCTTTCTGCAAGATTTTATAAATTTTGGCAAAGGATCTAACTACATATAAGGTGTAAGGTAGATTTCAAAAGCTGTGATGGGTATCAGTTGAACAACCTAAAAGCTATATTGTCACAAAGAGAATTTCTCTTAGAAAATTCAACTTAATGAAAGCTAGGAAACTTTGGGAATTTGAAGACTTTTGCATAACAAATTATTGGCAGAACATTTGCTCCACCAGATCTTGAAAAAGCTTTGAAAATTATGTAGGTGAAGAATGCCAACCATGACATAGGCGTGCCAGTGCATTATGGCTGACTGGGAATATGTACGAATTTTGTGAAAACTTTTGTTATCTAGAATGTTTACATGGTTGTGATAAAACAATGCACCATAAACCTGCACACACTTGATTCCCTAACAAAGCTACCCTCAGAACTTGCACTCTTTTCACTGGTACGTGCTGATCAAGACAACAGTAGCAACAGGAAAATAGGGCAATACACTCCTGCCAATCAGAGAATATAAAGGTACAGACCAATTTATTTGATTGACAGAAGTGTATTGCCCAATTACCCTGACGCGACATGACAGTTGTCTTGATCAGCGCATAGCAATGAAAAGAGTGGTAAAATAACTGCCGGAAATCGGACAATATCAACCCAGAATTGGAATTTGTCTGGTTAGATCTTTGCCTTGCTGCTCATTTCAACCAGTAATCTTGAGCCAGAAACGAGGTGTGGCCAAGCTAAAACTAATTTGGCCGGTCATTATGACTGGTGACTTACAAGCCCTGACACTTGCCCCAAACATATGCACATACAATCTATATTGTTCCTCTCTTACCTTCTGGAGTCATTTTGGCTAATTCAGGGACCTCTACGTAGAAATCTTTTCTAAATGATGAGTAGTACACCTTGTTATGGTCAACTGGTTGTAAATCCTGTAACCAAAGATAATATATATGAAATATTGTGTAGTTCCACAAATTATCCATACCCCTTCCCCCCACAGAGGAATTTGGAATTTCTGAGGGGTGGGAGCCAGAGAAAGAACAAAATTACAGGAGTTTGCATGGAAGAAAATTGGAATTTCCCCTCATCATTTTACTTGTGGTTGAAAAGTTACACGAGAATTCCAAAGTTGTTCTGGCATAAGCCAGCTTAAACTACAGGGTTTTCATTTAAGTTTTGAAATAATTGGAGAAGATCATGAACTAGTCAGAGAGTACTGATCGTGRTGGTTTAAGGACGGTGCCTACTATTGTCCACGCGCACACGTACTGCGCATCTACATTCAAGGAATTTCAAAATTTATTACTTGAATTGCACGAAACAAAACGTTCATTTTCAATAAAAGTTAAACAGAAAACGATCTTAAATAACCCAGGCTTGTTAAAGAGATAATTTGCTAAGGTTTAAGTATTATTGACAAAGAATCATAAGGTTTTTTGGGCAAGTTTCAGTGAAAAAATGACAGACTCATAGTTCTAAAAAACCAAATCCTTTCAATAATAAAGCTTTTTAACGTTTGTTTAGATTTAATCATATAAAACTTGAATAAAAACAAACAAGAAATACATATGAAATTGAAAATTTACCATTTATTAATATCTAGGTGTGTAATTATAGTTTTGAAAATCTTTTTTTGGTCGCT